ATTTACAACAACATTTACAGGCTGTTAAGTTAGAGAAGACAGACTCTTTGCCTTCTCAAAATGTAGATGCATAAAAATTCTTAAAATTGTAGATTTTAAAAAGAGGAACAGAAGTACCAGTAAAGAATATCACTGCAAATTCTTCCGTTTCCACTACCAGAATGTTTCTGTGAGGCATTGATTATCTTCTAATGGGTTGTACAGCTCAGAGGGATGGCACACTGGAAGTATCTAGTGATAAACAGGTACTTACCTATCAAAAACCCCATTGATCAAGACGTACATCCTGAAATTACAGTCATTCAGAGATAGATCATAGTCGGCTACTCCCACAACGTAATTCAAGACTCTCCTAAAATCCATAGAAAAAAACAAGCAAACACAGTATTTAGTTTAAATTGATAGCTAAGCATTAGTTTTAACAGGCTTTACAGACACACTATAGTCCCCTTGAAATCTAGGACATGCATAAAAATAACACAGTTGAGTATGGCACAGGTTATTATCTAAAGTAATTGCAGGAGTGTACCATCAAATATTGTGAAGGCCATGTGTGGCAAATATGCCTGTGTAGTGATCCTTCTGTGGTATAAATTAAAAGACACACAACAAATAAATATAGGTACAAGTAGTAGCAGGTGAGTACTTATGCAGTTACATCACTTACTGAGGTATGATGATGGTTCCCTGCCAACGGGCATATGGAAGCAATGAATACTCTCAAAGCTTGATCCACAGAGCGTAGGTTACACTTAGGAAATGGAAGGCTGCACTGCTCGGAAGGACAAACTCAGAACAGTAACGAGTCAAGGGCAGCCAGCCATCGGAACGTGAGCTCCTAAGGCAATGTGATAGCCAAAAGATCAACGGGATCAGTTGAACATGGGGGACAGCTCATGTTTAAGAAGATTCAGAATCTGGTTACTGGTTTTCAACATTAGAATGTTTTGACAAATAGGACACCAAAAAGCCTCTTCAGTGCCTCTTGTTTGCAGACCTAGGTGTTGTATTTATTGCTCTTTATCGTAGTTTGGAACTAAATATATTTATAGTGCCACCAAACAAATCAAACCTCTTTAGAAGGGATCACAGTCTCCACAGTACTGACCACCATTTCCACCAACTTATCTTTAATTTAAGATGAAGGCTGAAATCTTGGCCCCTCTGAAGTGAGTAGCAGAAATCCCATTGACTCAGCGGGGCCAGGGTACAACTGGAAGGAATTTCCTTCATCTCAAGTCTGAAGAGTTGAAGTTCTTGGATTACACAAAATGAGAAACAAAGAGTTTTAAATGATTTATTTGATTTCTCCACATGATCACAGTTATAGTTTTACATCAATAGGGTCTGTTACTACTTACAAACAGAATGCATATTAAAATGAAAGCACTCCCTTCTTCCCCATAGTTACAAAAGGGGTCTCAAGCCTCCCCAGAACAGAAGCTTCTTGTAAGCATAATGTTTTTTGAAGTCTTTAACAGTCTGCATTCAAGACCTAATTCTAACAGTTTAATACAACTCAAAGCTGATTTAAGTTCCTAGCAGGAGATAGGCAACCTCAAAGTGACTGCAGACTTATAATAATACTAATTTACACACTATGTACAATTTATAGAATTATCTATTCCCACTACTGGTCCCATTTTCACCACCCTCTTTTCTCTTTTCCAAATTTAATCTTGTTATTGGTTCCACTTTTCATTTAAATATATACACAATAGTCCATTTTGCAGGCAAGAAGTGAGATGGTATTTTACAACGGAACAGCAAAATGCATGCTTAACTGCAGAAAACACACAGCTTCATATGGAACAGCAAGTCAACATCTAGAGATTCATTGTTTAAATATCTGCTGACTGTCTTTCAGCTCATTTTATCAAGAAACAAGAGGCTTCTGCTGCATGCAGTACATGATGGGAAAATCATTCTACACTGTATGTTAGACTTTTTTTTTAGCAATACAAGACGCACATTATATTAGGATGAACTTTGTTTTTTGTTTTTTACATTGTTTTACATCTCATTCTTAACTTAAAAAAATAAAAACCCCAAATATGTATTTGATTGTTGTCCCAGAAAAGATTTTTTGTTGCCACACCTTCATTCTTTACGTTTCCCTTTCATTTTTTCAAATCAGCATTGCTACTTTGCCACATCATTTATGGGAAAAAAGAAACATGGTCACTCCATGCAGTTCTGTACCAGTTTTTAATTGGCAATGACACTTGAGAAAAAACCCCTCTCAATTCTACTCCTGCCTGCAAGCTGAAAAAATTAACTTTCTTAAGCACACGCAGCGTTAAAGCACTATAATTTTCCTATTCTAGGCATGATCCATACCGCTCTAAGCAATTGTTAATCAAGGATGGAGTCAGAGAGGTTATACTACAACCCTAAACATGCAGCAAAGTTCTTACGACTTATGCTGACACCAAGACACATCTGTTTGTTTAAAGTACATACAAACACACGATCTAAAGAAAAAAAAAAAAAGAAAAAAATCAAGTCCACTGTTTCTCCTCATTGACTTGAAACAATAGTGTGTACAAATACTGTGCTCTTAATATGACCAGTTTGGTTTTTTAAACTAGCCTCAAAAAGATCTGTGATTTTACACATGCAACGTAATGCACCTAGAGAGTAGGCACAAACTCTTTCCCCACGTGTACATGAAATCATACGCAAATGGTTTTTTGCATGCATATTTGTGACAACTCCTGAATATTTAATTGGTTGTACATGGAAATCAGTGGTCAAGCATTAAAATGTGGCTTACTGTGTAAGTTTAGAATAGTTATATATAACTCTAATTTAAATGAATGAAAGGGGTTTTGAAACATAAAGCAAATGCAGATCTGGGACATTTAACACCTTCATTGTTAATTAACACAGCTAGAGTCAGATTTTCCTCTCCACTGCTACCACATATTCTGCATTTATTCCGTACACAGGCAATTTTACTTACATTATGACTCTGCATCTGAAACAAGTACAGACTCCATCACTCAGTGAAGAGGAGCATTCTTACCTCTGTTTTAACTGAAAGATGCAGTTTCTGGAAGATGTTTGTACCTGAATGGTTCTTTATCTTTTCTGGAACAACCTATAAATTACAGTTAGACTCTACTATTGGTACAGATGTATGAAGAAAAGTCTACATATTGAAATATGTTATCACTTTACTTCAACTAATATCAACAATAACACTGATATATTTTGCAAATATACAATATGTAGGGTGTAGCCTCACACTAATAACATTAGATGACATGCAGACAGTTCTACTTTCCCTTATCAGAACAGTAAATATTTTTTTAAACTGCAAGGAACAGAGCCTGAGGGGACTCATATGAGCCCTCTTAAGGTAAGCTGCAGAATTTAGAACAGTATGAGTGACACTTAAAAATAACAATGTAATGACTCGTTTTCTTTTCATGAAGATAATTTAGAGGAGAAGGAGCAGAAGGGGAAAACATATTGCACATGTGTGAAACAAACGTGGACAGCTTTAAACAAAAGGCTAAACTCTAGATTGCTGTATTTGCTCTCTGTGGAGGTTAACAAAGTGCTCAGTTTGCAGTTTTGCTGGTATTGTGATATCAATGGTATGAAAGGGAAAAAATTACTCAACCTCTTCCCCCCTTCCCCCCAGCTATTAAGATGCCATGAGCAAGCCAATAGGAAAAGTCACTCTCTTGTTCTCATGCCCTCATTATTCCTGACAATTTTACTATTGTTAAATAAAAAATCGACAGGTGGTTATTATTATTATTACTTTTACCCATCTCACACTGGAACTTTTTGCTCATCCTCTTCAAGGTTTGCTTTTGGGCTGGTACAGTTTTGCAGTTGTGATTCCTTTGTCTCTACTGTTTAGGTGTAAAGTCCTTGCAGTGGCTCAAAATGCTGAAACTACAAAGTAGGCGCCATGTATAACTTTGTACAAGATCTTGGGATAAAAATTGTATATAAATTTGCAAATGGCTTGATTACAACACATAAGCAACAACAGCACAGCCTGTTTTTATGTGATGTCTTGCAACTAACTGGACTATGAAAGTGAGGGTTTGAGCATAAACTCAGCCTGCTGAGTGCTGGTACTTTCAAACTAACAAATGTGATGAGTAAAAATGGTGAAGCCACTTTGTTGCTAGCACATGGCTACATGGAATTACATTTTTTTTTACATGTATAAAACCCCTATACTAAATTCTAAAACAAACCTTCGAGTTTTAGAGCACTTCCACCCGGAAACACTCTGACTAGAATTCAGCTTTGTTGGGGGTAAAAATGAGAAATTATGGTGAACAGGAAACAAAGTAGCTGAGAAAGATGGAAGTTTGCCATTTTCATGTTTGAGATGAATGTCTTTGCAGTGTATACATGCACCTGTCATAACCCTTCATGTGTGTTCATTAAATCATATGCATACAAAAAAAATGTGGATCATGTAAATTCACAGTTATCACAGCCTTTAAAGTGTCTAAGATTTTGTGTGACCAACGCTTGAAGATGACCACTGGTAAATGGTCACCCAACATTGCTACGGTATAATTACTGCATCTTAACGAGTTTGCTTACCTGAAATAGCAGAGCAGTTATAATACTGATTACGTATGATATTATCATGTTAATAAAATAAGGATTTATACAAAGCAGTATTTGACTACAACATTTAAATGCTATGTTACTTGGCACATTTAGTAATGATTGCTTAGAAATCCTAGTGAGTCCAGAGGACTTTTAATGAAAATACTGAAATGTCTGAAATTCCTTTCTAACGTTTAATGGTTTTGGTCTACTCTTTCGTATGCTATTAATCTATTATACTGTCCTATCAAGTAAGTGGAATTCCTCGTAAAGTCTATATTGCTAGTTTTGTGGACTGAAAAAATTTCTTTCCAAGCACAAATGTTAACTATACAGTGTATATATATATATTTATATGTATATATTTATATTATATAAAGTTTACTTACGTACTTTCATCAACCATATCAGGTCTACTTATTTTTTTTGCCCATTGACAATAAAAGAGCAAGAATGCAACACTTGGTTCTGTATCACTTTTTTCCTTTTTTCACAGACTAAGGTTTTATTACACGTGTAAAATTGTCAAGGGATTTGGTGTAAAAGGTAGCTTTACTCATAGTCAGCAAGCAGCATGTTTTCAAGGCAGTTTGGAAAGAAGAACTAACCAGATGGTAAGCGTCTATCGAGTAGATAAGTAAAACCAGTTATTGATGGTGCTAACTTGAATTATTTTAGCAACAGCAAGCCTTTAAGCTCACACAGCTCAATTAAGTTGCCTAGGTAAAAACTGACAATACGATTTGTTGCTTCCTGTAAGTGCCTTTGTGACTTTGTTTAAAACTATAGTTACTAGGAGGGTTAACATGTTCTAGACTATTGTGCTGATGCCGCTGTGTTTGGGCTTAGTGGTGGCTGAAGTGGAGGGAGGCGGTGGCGGTCCATGGTGATGCTGAGGGTGTTGGGGATGAGAGGGGTGTCCTGGGTGCGGAGGGGGCAGTGGTGGGTGAGGAGAGTGGGTGTGCTGCGCATGGGGATGCTGCATGTAAGGAGTGTGCTGGGAGTGCACTGCGTGCTGGGAATGGGGCACGTGTTGGTGATACTGGTGTGGGTGCTGGATGTGCTGGGGAGGGTGGTAGTGGTGGTGGTGGTGGTAGGGAGGTGGGTTCTGCTGCATGTGACAGTATTGCGAATGGTGAGAGTACACTTGTGCCTGTGTCTGCCCCTCAACTGGCCCTGCATGATGCACAGCAGAAGGATGCTGTGAGTGTTGCTGATGTGGGATTACTGGAGGGTGCAGAGGTTGCTGGGATGAGCCAGATGGTGGATGGCCTTGGGAAGGTGGCTTTCCCCTTTTACTACCAAATAAGGAACCTAGGAGTGAGGAGGAGTTAGGCATAGTCTGGTGAGGGCGAGATGGACACTCTCGGGTTGATGTAGCTCTTCGGCGCATGTGAGGACTGCTAATGATGGACCCCTAAAAAGAAATTAATAGAAATAAAAATTAAAAAAAATCTTAAAATGCTTGAAAGAAAAAGTTCACACTGACCCACAAACTCCTCCTTCAGTGTTCACATGGGTGGACTATGTTAGGAGTTCTAGGAAAAATTTTATTTCTACCTTCTCTAAGTTGCCAAAGAGGCATTCATGCCCTTCTTGGGATATTTTAAGCATTAAATGTTTTCTCTCAGTAGTTTAATATCAAAAGCTATAACTTTAAATAAGGAAAATGTCACGGAAGAGTAACATGACATAAGACCTAGGAGTGTGTTTTTAAAGGAAAGATACATTTTAAAATACTGTAAAAATACCATACTTGTTTTACAACAAAAAAATAAAACTACATTAAATTCAACCTAAATAGTTGAACACACAGCAGCAGTTACAATTACAGTTACAATTCACATTTAAAAACAGTATTTTAAACTTTTTTTTTATAGTAGTTTTTCACTACTATATGCCATAGTGCTGCTTCTCAAGCCTACCACTGAATTATGTGTTTAATGGAACCATACCATTTTTGCCACTAAGATTTCTATGCGATCGTGTTCTTCTAACCTGTGGTCCAACGTTCTCTATTATTTAGCCTGGAAGGTGTATTTAGTTTCTGGAAGTTTTGGGTTTGTATTTTGTAAAAAGAGTTACAGGACACAACAGTACTTAGGCAAAGTGTGCTAGATTTAAACTGCAATCTACCTAAAGCAAACACAAAAAAAAAAAAAAAAAAAAAAAAAGAGAGAGAGAGAAAAAAGAAAAAAATCTGCAAGCTGAATTCAGAGACATGAACAGTATATATATAAATGGTTTGAAGATGAATGAAATCTCATGAAATCCACATTGAATTCACCTATCTTAATAATTTTTCCTCCTATCTGTGCAATTCCATGGTGTCATGACTGCATACATTTAGCAATTTAACCCGAAAATAAGCAATGGGAATGGTTGAGCATGAAAGTTAATAGTTGTAGCTAAATATCAAACAGCAGGAACAGTGTACTTCGTAACAAAGAGCAAGTGGGCTTTTAAGCTGGGACCAGACTGAAATGGTGGCAAAAGGACATGTCATATTCATTTAACCATGCTTGCAGGAACAAAGGGAACAAGGTTAGCTCAAACCAAAAATGGCATTGGTCTAAAACAAGCTGTCAGTGCTTTTTAAGCTGGAAGAATACGGAGTGAGTAGCCTAGGCATGCATTTTATTTGAGGCAGGCAGGTTATATGTTAGAAGAAAAAAGAGCAAAAAAATATGTATATAAAAGAAAGGTTTGAAATGCACATCATCACATCCAGCTAGACATCAGTAACTTCCTACTTACTTCCATATTGCTGTCTAGCGATCCTGCACTGCTGCGTCGCCCACGCTTGCCTGCCCAGGACATGCAACACCATAGATTAGAGACTGAGACAAGACCCGGGTGAAAAACAGCTGCTTTCCCTGAATCACTATAGGAGTCTCTAAATGCAACTAGAGGGGCTGCAGGGGGGTTAACATTGCACTGGACTGGTACAGTGGCTACTAAGGCAGAAACTTACATTTTTAAGGCCATTAGTTATATTAAGTTTCTGTACCTGACTCATTTTTAAGAGGTATCATTGTTGTGAATCAACTACATTAGCAGGGTGTGATTTTTTTTTAATTTGTACAGCTCTTAAGATACATGTATTTCAGCATCTAGATTTAGCAGTATCGTGATGATGTTGACCAGCAACAATTTCAAATTGTTTGATTTCCTGGAATCTAATTCTCTATGAAGTTTCTTTCTTTAAAGACTGGTAGCACTGATATATATTTGTGGGGTGGTATTAATTTAAATACAAAATTTAGTGTTGGCATATTCTGAACTTCAGTGTGGGGGACTGGTGAGGGGCATCAGTTTCACCATTTCTTTTCAGCTTTGAACCTCAGTGGATTTCATACTATCTTATTTCATGAAGTTTAAAAAAAACTAAACTTAATTTTTGATCAATAAATCTGGAATCTGTCTTGACATTATGGCTAGATTTTGTTTGTTTAGCTGTGCAGTGCTTTATCTTTAAGTATGATGGATTTGTTCTCCAGTGTTCTCAAATTGCCAAAGACATTTGCCTAAAACTACACATGAACCACCAGGCTGTTTGCCTGAAGAGCCAGAATACCTCAGTGTTCATATATAGGACACAGGATCCCAGATTTTCTCTCGCATTTCACAAGAGAGAAAATAGCATGTGGCTGCAGTGGAAATACATATTTTTTAAAACATAACTTGGCGAGCATTGCTTTGCAGAGTTTAAAAATACTTTACTGGCAAGGTGTATAAACAAAACTAACCTTTGAAGAGCAGTCAGGTTCTTAAAGCTTCTCTAAAATCTGCATGTTTTTAGAAACCTAATTTTTCTTACTGCTTTCTCCTTGCTTTCCTGCAAGGTCAAACATCAAGGACAATCTCCACCCTGCATTGGTACATCACTGCCTTCAGAATATTCTACTCTAACAGGTGGTTTTGGGGAGGAACATGAAAGTTTTCAGCATCACTGAACCTATAAGCCACACCCCCTCATCTTTAGAAGCCCAAAAGCCACCTGGTAGCAGAGCTAAAGAGAACAACTTTGGGACTGGTTTGTAAGTGGGACACAACAGCGATTCCTGGGAGGTTCACCCTTAACTTCTTGACATAGCCTTTCACAGACCAATTTAGACTACCCGTAAGTCTTATAAGATACCTCCTATTGGATCCATAAACATAACTTTGACCTGCTTGGTCATGGGATGCTGCCCTGTAACACAAGTTTCTCCCCTCTTATTACCACTGAGAGTCCCTCCCCAGTGTAAGCCCCTCTACATCAACATTAAATTGAGGGAAAGGCATTTGCGGTCAAGGTGTTTCGTTTGACTTGTTAAATTTGTTGGAATTTTGAACAATTCCCCTAGATAGGCTCTTTGTCAAAAGCTTGGTGCTTCATCTCTTGCTGCAGTTTTAGCCTCATCAAAACCATAACTCTACTATCTTATGACCACCCTCACTGCCCTCCCCAAGAAAAACTGGTTTTGTTATCACTCAGTTTTACTTCTAGTCAGGCTTTGATATTGTTCTGCTCTGCTAATGGGACTAGTACTGATTAACACTCATATCACTCTTGTTTGCTGATGCAAAACCACTGAGAAAGATAGCAGTCTCTTAACTTAGCAGTCAATATTGCAAATAGGACTGCCACAAGTCATTAAATGTGGCCAAAAATGAAGGAAAACAGGAAAATGTAATGCCTTTTGCTTATGGCAGGAGTCAGTCTCTAATAAAATAACCATGAACACAGTATATATGGACAGAAAGAGACAGATAGATTTTTGCTTAGAATAACTTCAGGGCAAAGTAGTACTAGCAAAGCCAAGAACAAACAGTAAAATCCTACTTAAAATGCCTGTAATTTCCCTCAAATAGGCACTATCACTATAAAGAGCACTAGAAACAAATTGAACCCAATTCTGTATTTGCTTACAGTATGACATGAAAGCTATTAAGTAAATTCTCTAGCGTGTTCCCCCCTGTCAGTGCATGTTTATCCAAGACTGTTCTCTGGTCTTCGAGATGGCATCCCACCTCAAAAATGTTTCCTTAGAGCTGCAGCATTCAAATGCATTTAAAGAGAATGGTGACACTCAACTAGAATTGTATGTAAGCATAACTCTGTACTCGCATAATAACGAATAGCTGTGGTACAAAGCAAGGTGGTATTTATCAAATCTGAAGACCAGTTTTGCTTAATAAAATGCTGATCTACTTGAAATTTTTAAGGATGTTACTTAGAGTGGCTTTTAATTTATTTTTATAAAATTAAATTTCAGTTAATTTAATATTTTCTGATTCATTCCAACAATTCATTGATGTTAGATATGAATATTCTTTGTAAGAAATAACTTTGACTTAAGTATAATATGTCCTATATACGTACATGCATTATATGGGACTAAGAATATTTCAAAATTATAGTAGAAATATTAAGTCATTAAAAATGTTTTACAAACTTAAATGTTCCAAAAGAAAAATCAGAGTTCTGTTAATAACAATGCATTCTACCTTGCAGAAATTGATCTCTCAGAAGTGCAGATCATTACAGTAAACGTACATATTTCTCAATGCTGCCCTGTATTTCTTGAAACTCTGTTCTATGCCAGCGAGATACACTGATATCTAAACAATGTATTATGATCTGGCTTTGTACGTCTTGGGAAAAAAAGTCTGGAAAAAAGTTCTAAATTAAGGTTTTGGTAAAGCAAACAAATGTAGCAGCTCTTACAACAATGAGTCATTACACTTGCCTCCAAAGGCTGTGAAATTGATATTCCCAGCAGCAACAGAGCCTGTAACCGCCTAGCTACTGAGCTTAAAGGTACTACCCCAGCTGACTTGCTCAAAATTATCGAAAAAATATGGTCCAACCATTAATTTAGAGAGACCACTTTCCAGGGTGAAAAGACTCTTTGTAACCTTCCTATTTTCATCTTGTTTTCTGGGTGAAACAGGTATAGTCCTAAGATTACACGCCAATTGTGAAAATAGGTTCTTGGCATCTTCAAATAGATTATTCTTAAAATACTGATTAAGCCCCAGGAGAAAACAGCATAACCGCACCTCGCCTTGCTGAACTCCTCCTTCACTGGAAAAGCAGACAGCGTTTCTTCCATAAGACAGAAAAATTGTTGATACAAAGGTGTTTATGTGCAGTGTGGGGTGTCTTTGTACAACATACTTGTAAAATGGTTTGGTATTAATACGCATATCACAAAAGACTTGATTGATACAAATCTGTGTTTTTTTTAAAAAAAAAAATCAGTAAATTCTATCATGCCCATTACTGTTGCTATTCCGTTGAAGAACAGGAAATACAACAACAGTGAAGACACAGGAAAAATCTCTCCCTACTTGGAAAGCTCTTCTAATAAGGGAGAGAAAGATTGCTGGTGTCCTCCCATCCCACATAGTGCAGCAAAACCCACGGGAGAGGCAGAAGATAACCTAGTGCCCCTGCCTGCATCAGAGGAGGGAGGAGCCAAGGGACCGCACCATCCTAGCACAGATGGATTCAACAGATTAAGGGATTCTGTAATTGCATTGAAGTCAGAGTCTTTTTAAGGGGATTACAGTGCTGAGAAATTCCACAGTCTTTTCCATTACATTTTGGGATATAGGAAAGTTTTAAAAACACATGATGAAATTGTTAAAAAAAAAAAGCAGCTTTTATTTTTGTAAGGTAAGGAAACATTTAAAAAGTTAAAGGTTGATGACAGAGATTATATGCAATATAGAAATAGAATTATTTTAATTCTGGAATTACTTTATGGGTTTGGCTTTTTTTTTTTTTTTTAAGTAGTCTCTACTGGTCCGTGATTGTTTTGAGATCGCAGAGGAGATTATCATAGAATCATAGAATCGCAAGGGTTGGAAGGGACCTTGGGAGATCATCCAGTCCAACCCCCCTTATAAAGCAGGTTCTCCTAGAGCATGTTACACAGGACTTCATCCAGGCGGGCTTTGAATATCTCCAGAGAAGGAGACTCCACAACCCCCCTCGGCAGCCTGTTCCAGTGCTCCGTCACCCTCAGAGTAAAGAATTATGAGACAAGCACAACTTATATTAATAGTAACCATACCACCCTGCACTTCTGTGCAGATTCCAATCTTACATGGGTATGCCAGTTGTGTATTACTAGGGAAAACCATAAAATTACAATTTTTAAACCAGTGCGGTGTCATAAGTATTATTTCCACCTTACAGGTTAGGGATGGGAGGATAAAGCTTGATTTCCACAGGTGCTCACCACTGTAAACTCAAAGTGCAAGCACCGGGACCTCTAGCAACTCCAAGTCAGTGGGATTCAGACTGACTACTAGCCTAAAATCAGTCAAGAAATCCATGAGAAGTACAGAATCAGAAACGCAATCAGTCTAATCCTCCATGCTCTGCTTTAACGACCAAATCATTCTTCCCACATTCTTCCCGTGCTGGGACATCAAACCTTTCACATCTTTCAGTAAACCTACTTATCATGTAATTGTATATGCAGTAAATGGTGAAATGTCCAAAATTCTATCATACCCCATACAACCTAGCTTTAACTGCATTAAAATTTGTCTGTCTTCTAATATTTTTATGTAAATTAAGAATTTCAAAGACTGGGACAAATAAATTCAGTTATTCCTTGACTATAGCTCAAGAATGTGTAACAGAAATTATAGATTATTTTTTTTGGAGAAAAATAAAGCACTCCATACTTTTGACATATTCACATCTTGGAACAGTTGATTGTCACATTCTGCTTTTCATTCCATGGAATAATCCACAATGAACAATACTATCTTTAAAATCAAAACACCCTCATTCACATCTTTTTTGCAATTATGATTTAAGCTATCATGGCAAATGCATGGAAGAACAACCATCAGGAAACAATTCCTGACACTATTTTCTGACAGAAATCTCTCCTTTCCTTACAGTTTACAGCTTTAGGAGTCAGAGTCATTCAGGCTGTCAACATTCATTAAGTCTAAGAAGCTTATGAATCATCACTCTCTTCCAAGAGAGAAACTTGGAAGTCACTTTCCACAGCCATTTACTACTGCAATACTTGGTAGAGAGTAATGGACTATTTTCTTAAATAGTTTTGTCATATACCCATGCAACCAAAATGCTGTTCAATAGAATTCTCCTTCACTGAATGAATATTTAAAATTTTTCAATTTGTTTTTGCAATGTTCATTGGACAATTATCTGCCTTACTGCATAAACATGCACTGTCCACTCTCCTCATGCCTTTTCCTACAGAAAGACACACATGCACACAGTCCTACTACTCTTGTTCCTCCTCCTTTTTCATCCCGTGTTTCATCCACAGAAAGACTTGAGGCAACCTAACTCTTTTAAAGAAGCAATTTAGTATGGTATAACCACTGGGATGCAGTGTCTTACTAGCTGAAAGAAATGTATTTGTTTTTCTATGGATCATCTGTCCCATATTAAAACAAAATCAGCCTCACATGCAAGCTATTCACTGAGAAAAGGCAGAAAAGACATGTATAATCTCATTAAAATTACACCAAATAACAAAGCAAATAACAGGTATGTAATTTCTCAAGTCAGTTGCACTGCACAAGACCAAACAGAAACTCTCCATAATTCTCAACTCATTAAAGTTAAAATTAAGTTTAGTTGGGTTTAACAAACTCATTGATAAACCCTGCAGTCTGTGAGTGATTTCTACTTTTTATTATGGAAAAAAGTTATTTTCAGTAATAAGCATGCCAACTGTAGGCATGCCCTGTTGAAATGTGAGATGTTTTCATGATTACAAATACTTGTTTATTGCATGAAACCCATAATGTGAATTTAAATACATGGCAATGTTTGAAAGACAGGGATGAAAAATTCCTATGGGATGAAAAAATTCATCAGAAATCACATTCGTGGGTCCAGATACCCACTGAACTCACATATTCAACAATATGGTAGTTCTCATTCTAATGAAATGAAAACAAGACAACAAAAAAGGATGATGGAAGTATCCTCAAATCTGAGATGTAATAGTGGTGAAGACCAGTGGCTTGATCTAAAATCCACTGAAGCCAATCAAGCGCCAATATGCAACTTCAGCCTGATTTTGGATCAAGGTCCTAGGTCTTTTTAATGAAGCAAATGGACATATGAGTATGAAAGCCTAAACAGAGAACAAAATAATTGAAACAGCTCACTCTCTACATATTTGTATGCACATATATATACCCTCGAAACACAGGCTGTATTTTCAGTTTACAACAATTTTATTTATGGCAGCATAGCTAAAATATCTCCTTTAGTTAAAAGAAGGAAAAAGATAAGTAGTGTCTGCTACCGGTTACACATAGTATTGAAATTATGACTATACTGTAAATCACCACTGCAATTAAAAGAACAAATAAGAATATGTAACAGAGACTATGAATTAAAAAAAAAAAAATTTAAAAAAATATATAAGGTTGCTACTATCCCCATCAGGACTTTCTGAATAGTGGGCACAGTTGTTCAGGTATGACTTCTTGTAGTGACAGGAATCACGTTTAACACTGAAAGACAAGGCTGCTACCCATGGCAGTCTGTATTACATGGGTATACCAGTTTTGTATTACCAAGGCAAACCATAAAATAAAAATGTACCAAACTTCCCCTGGCTTTTCTTTGGCTGAAAAATCACACCACCACTCCTTTCCAGTCTTTAGCTATATTAATCAGTTAATAAATCTTAAGACACATCAGTGGGTTTGTGGGATTTCAGTATTCTTGTCCACTAGGGCTTCCTTTATTATATTGGCAATAGTATTTCACAACAACCTCTTTTGCAATAATTGGGAACTATATCTTGAGATACAAACCAATAAAAGACCATCAGGGACACAGTGTATCTGAATTACATAGCTCTAGGCAGATTTTAGTAGGGCTTCACTCAATTTCATTCATCAATGTGGTAACACAGGTACACTTGAGCACAAAATACATAGAAAGGGGTCATTACACAGAGACCAGTTTCTTTTCTTTTCTTTCTAAGTTTATTGTATGAAGAGAAAGATGCAAAGGGGGGAAAAATAAAGAAAGGAAAACTAAGTGGGTTACTCCTAGCACGAGTCAACCACTTTTTTACAAAACTTACAATTTTTCCTCTGTCTTCACTCTCCTTTAGAAGTATACATAGCAATCTACAATGGTTAAATGCTTTCAAATAGTGGTTGCTTCATAGAACAAAGGTAAAAAACAAAGAGAAATTAAACACAGACTATGAAAGAGGAGCTATTTAAAACTTCTGAAGCTTCAGTATTAACTAGTTCTGAAATTCCACTGTGAGCTGGGCTGTATAGGCATCATTCAGGCACCTGTGCATGCACTAGTCAGCGTGAGGAAGTAAAGGCAGTGCTTACCGGCTTCAGACAGGTCTCTAAGGGAGCTGCTCAGTGCGCTTCTTTTCAGCCCCTCCCCAGTGGCATAGCTGTCATCCAGGCAAGCTCTGTTCAGTGTCCCGTTTCCAGAATCTTTTTTCAGACTGGAGCATTGAGATATGCTTGGACGCACCACACCCTTCTGTTTTTCTAGCTCAGCTGAAACAAAGAGAATAGTTTTGCAATTCATTTATGTTGACTATAATGGAGGACATGGTAAGATCACAATTTCTTGATGTGATCATATTTTACTGTGAATAATAGATAAGAGTTCACTTTGGCACTGTTAAATACCAGAGAGGAACTTCAGCCCTGTCCTAACAGCTTTATGTTACAACCTACAGGATGAAAGGCTATTCCTCTTTTGGAAAAACAGAAGATAAAATTCCATGTTTAGACACTCATGTAAGTTCCAGCGAAATGTATCAATTTGTACTATGGCTACCTAATTGAGAGAACACAGGAGTATCAACATGGAAATGAAGAATTATTCAGTAAAACTTCTTTGAAGGGCCATCACTGAGAATTTCAGTGATGTAAATTATCCCTAAAATTCTTACTGTAATTTATACTACAAATTACAAATCCATCTCTCCTCTGTCCATTGCTATTTGCAGTTTGTCCAGGCTAAATTTCCACTGCATCTACAGTGCAGTTAATAGTACTCAGTGAACTCGTCCGGGGCTTAAGATCTCATTGGGTTTTTCCTCTTTCTAGAATCAAAGCCATGGAAGAAAAACACATTATTTTTAACTTTTAAAGAGTTCTAATGGGCTACACAGACATTCAAGATTGTCTAACTTCAATTAGCTTGAAAATGCTCTATTTTATGTACCTTTGTACTTACACTCTATTCTGTGCTTTTCCATTTCTTGAACCTCTGCAATTGACTCCCTCAAATCATCTGTAAACTTCTTCCTGTCCTGAGGATTTGGTGCATTGAAATTTATTAGTACTTTGATATCTGCTCCTGGAACAGCTGATGTGAGCCGAATACCGTTGGGATAATCTAGAAGAAAGAGTCAAGAAAAACTAAGCTCTGATTATTCCAATTACTTTTCTTTTTATAAAAATAAACCCCCCAAACAACAACAATAAAACCTACAACTGAAGGCTTTTTACTAGTATTACCATATTGGGAACAAAGTCAGAGAAATAAAAGTCTAAAGGCACAGAATTAGGATGAAAATCCCTAAGATACATTGGAACTGCTTAACTGTGAAGATACCAAATAAATATTGAAAGACAGCCTTTATGCATCTGTTACCCTTCAGGTACAATGTAAAAGAAAAATCCCAGAAAAAAACCCCCAAAATTTCAGGTGATAATTTTTGTTTCATGGAGCAGATCCCATTGCCTACCTTAGTCAATTGTGACCAAAGTTTTGCTGAGGACTACCTGAATACATCTCAAGTACTAGAAACCATCTTACACTTTTAACTTAACTTTTGTATGAAGACAAATGCACCAGCATGTATACCTTTTTGCATTTCCTATTAAGTGATGTTTCCTGGACCAACCTACTTTCATTTTTTTCTAAAAAAAAAAAAAAAAGTTAAAATTATCTGTGAAATTATATACTGAGGAAGTAAAAGGGGTGTGGTTTTTCCCCCTCTTTTGGCCCTTATTATAGACAATAAAAAGGCAGATTTTTCAGCAAACTGTCTTTGCCTCTTTTCTGTGTGCACATCTGAGAACGCAAATTTTAACAACTGGTCAAAAATATCTCCTGGTTGAGATAAAAGGTTCATTTACAGAAAGACAGCTTATAATGAAGATATGTTCCGCTGCAGAAAACAGAATCAGCCTTTGCTTGAAGCACAGACCTGTAGAAAAGGGGTGTCAGAAAAAAATGCAAAATGTGCATTTTAATTCACAGTGTTTTCTTTTACTCAACTGCTTGACTTTATTGGCTTGCTAACGGTCTCAAATATTTACTTAAGCATTCAACCTCAAGTGCAAGTGCTCCCATGTACTAAAAATTCATGCCCTCAAGAACGAGCAGATGATGTAAGGTAGTCTTTTCCTCAAAGAAAAAAGGTTTCAACAATATACAGACTTAAAATATTGAGAAACAAGTGCAAATGCTATGCTTTTTTAAAAGGATACCTTAACTTCCAAATCAGATTTGCAACTAAAAGTGAACCAGGTCCATTTACCATTCTCAGGTGAAAAACGGTGCCAACTATCACAAGCTTCAAAGGGTATAGAGGGGAAGGAGGGAGCAAGAATTTGGGGCTTCTGCCAGGGTCTGACATCAGCATCTTGCACAGAAGCAATGTATAGCTGATCTGCTGCTCCTGACCACATGCCAATTGCATCTACCGCAAATCAAATGAGACAGACGCCTCAAGTTGTCTGTTGTTCAGAATACAGCCAAATGGCCAAAAGCGCAGAGGAGTCTGGTGCTAGGCAAGCTAAGAGGTGGAGAGCATGGGATAACAGAACGTACTGTTTTGAGCACTGAAACTGGATAGGCAGTGAACGGATCTAGAAAGTGCACCCCTTGGGGAAAAAAAGTTTATGAAACCAAACAAGGAAACTTGGTAACCCCGAAATCACATGGACTACCTTCATATATGAACAAAGAACAACGAATCTCCACAGACTAAACAAACAAAAATATTTTATTACCAGAGAGACTTCTCTACATCGTATTGATTAAGCATCATGAAACAGTGATGTAAGTATTTACTGGTTTCAGATACACTCTCTCTAAAGTGATCTGCTTGCCCTTTATATTTTCAGCACCTTTGACTGAAAATGTAAAATACACTTCCTTTACAGCCTATCTATTTCCTAGAGATATATGACATTATTTTCTCTTTTGGAGCTCATCTGTCCGTCAGGGTAATTGACTTTATTCATTAGAAGTCAATTCTTCTGTCATCAATACCAAGCCTTTTTTTCAACCTCACCAGTAGCCATACCAATATTTTTGTTGCTTCTGCTTTGGTGACACTGAATTTTATTCACTTGAAACCAGCTGATTCTAACAGCTGCTACACACAGACTTAGGGAATGGCATAATGGCTCTGGCCAAAATACCCCAGAGCTTGCTGGGGACAGAGGAAACCAAGAATATGGATTTTTACAAAGCAGAGGGGAAGAATACTTCTCTTTCCCCAATTGGAAAACACTGCATTCTGCCTGACAGGCATGGATATGAGAAGTACAGTCAGCTCTCTGATTCACCATAGTGAATTCACCAACTATGTCTACTTGAGTGTCTCAGTTCAAATGCCTCCAGTTCACTGGAAGGAATCGAACCTTTTACTCCTAGTTCCACTATAGATATTTTTAAGTTTACTTGAGTAGAGTGTTTCTACTTAGCATGCTTGTGTGATTTTTTTTTTTAATTTATTTAACTTGACATCAGAGAAATTATATATTCTATTTTTAGTAGAATCCAGGATAGAAATATTTGGCCTTCCTATCTAAAAATGAATTTTATATCATATAATGTGTGCACAAGAGAGACAGAATGAATCTGTATGCATACAAATAATCCACAGGCTACATCGCTGCTATAAACTCTACAAGATCTCCCTTTTTGAAATCTCCACGTTTTAACTCAGTAACAGCGACTTCTTTTGAGTGAGATGAACATTGGAGCACAAGACAAGCAAAAACTAAGAGCTTTCCACAACTAAAAAGCACAGAAAATACTGAATATTACACTGAACTGTATCCAGTTTATCATGAAGGCCAAGGTTTGGTTTACAAACCATTAAGTCAGGTCAAATAGGCAGTCTCCCTATGTACCATACAAACAACTATGCTCTGCTACATTATGCTCTGCTATATTACTGATGTTGTCTCTCGGCTTAAAATATACAGGAGCATTAGCAAACTATTTGCTTTTTACTAGGTTGTTGTCTGCTAAGACTAAGCTTGACAAACATTAAAAAGAATATTGGATTGATGCAGATTACAACTGACATAAGCAAAAGGTGTCAGAAAATACAAACTTTAATCCAGACTCTCTGCTTTGTATTTATATTTGAATGAGTATACATTACCTAGGCACATAGTTAAGATATGAATCAGGAAAATAAATTAAATAGTGGTTTGAATTACACGTATCATTATAATAGTAATTATTTTTATCATACATTCGGTTCCAGCTAACTGTACCACTGAATCAGCAACAGATACAACATTTGTTTCTTTACAAGCATTCTATTCTTTACGAGCATTCATAAACAACACATTTGGCTAGGTTTGGCTTCTGACCACAACCAAAACCATTGAACAGCAGTCTTGCTGTTTTTTATGCTGATACCATCTTGTTTCAAACTTTAGGGCTAAATTAAATTCAGAATTAAGTCCTGTCCATCCCTTTCACTCACAGAAATTTTTATTTTATTTATAAATAAAATGGTCATCTAAAAAGAGAGGAAAGACTTACACTGGTTCTCAAAAAGAAGAACTTGCATTCCATAGAGGGAAAAGGACTGTCGAAAACTGTATGTGACTGAGTTCTTCTTCTTTTGAAAAATCTTGGTCACCTTAAAGTTATCAAATAAACAAAGTTACATATCCCTTTTACCACGTATGTTTGTGGAAAATCATTGTTCTTAAGAATTAGCATATGAGAAAGCATTTTATGCCAAAGAAAGCATAAACTGCCAGAAAGAATGAACTTTTAATCTCTTCCTTTTTTTAAAATGCAACTGATGTATTTACTACTACTGAAGAAACAAAGCTAGCTTTGAAGCATTGCTATCTCTTAACCAGAAGGTTTAATATTTTATCCAGATACAAAGCCTTTGTGTTCTTTATTCTCCAGAACTCTACTTCCTGAAATTCCAGAAAGAAGAAAAAAGGGCATCATATTGTGCACTGTACATGCTAACAAACATGTAAATATAATGAAAATTTCTTTTTAAAAAAACTTAGCTGCTACCACACTTTCCTTCATGATTTTTTCTTACAGTCTGACTACAGGCAGGACACGCCTATGGACCTCTCCATGCAAGTTTAATTCTTAGGCCTTATTCTTATGTGACCTTCCAAGTCTGCTTCACTTTCGTGCACCTCCAAGTACTGTCTTACACTACCTCATCCAATGATGCTCTGTATTCCCTAGGATTTGTACAGCACCTATCTCAATAAAAGCACTGAGTCTGTGGAAACCTTTATTTTTTGCTCCAAGTAACATACTACTACTTACCATCAATTTTGGGGTTCTCCTAAACTGTGAATGCAACCACTCTTTCTCTTTATAAACAAGAGGTTTATTTCTACTAGTTCTTTCTAATTTTAACTTTTGGTGATGGCGTTTTACTAGAACTGACAAATTAGGTTTATATCAGACAGTTTGATAAAACTACTGACATTTAAGTAAGAAAAAATGACAGAAATCTTGCAACCTGAAGACAACAACGTTCCATCATTTTATGCCCAAGTTGCCATTTATAACTAGGAGGCTGTACCTACAATCAAAAGGACTAATTTTTTTTTTCATTTACTTCCTGGTTTTAAGGTCTGAAGGTATGTAAAAGTTACACACAATAAAATTGTGCACCTAAAGTGTGCCTTTTTTGTAATAAAACATGAAATATTTAGCTTAGTTCTTAGTTCTCAGGTAGCAGCCAAATACATTCCAAATACAGTGCAACAAATTTTCCTATTTTTAAGAGTAAATCAACCAAATAATTCCAAACTGTCACTAGTTTTGTATGTCTGTTTTTCAAAAGACTGGGTCAAGTTAAATGCACACTAAAAAGTAAAGTCAACTGTACAATGTATTTCAACATATCTTATTCCTGTTTCAATGAATAAACATGTCTGGTGCATGGAATATCTGAGGAATACAAAGTAGTATGTAATTTTGGTTTTCCAAAAGTAACTTGAATTCATTATTCACGGAATAAAGAATGTCTCCGTTTATCCATCAGGGAAATGGATAAACTGGAGGTAATTTTTGTTCTTTTTAGTAAAAACTATTGAATCAAAGTACTTTCTTACAATAGAGTGTAGTAATCAATAAAAGGCTTCTGTTTAAATGCAGATTATATATAATGAAGAAAATTAAAAAAATTTAAATCTTAATCATGCCAAGATTGTTGGAGTACAGAGTAACAGGTTAACAGATATTTATTTTTAGGAATGCTCATGCACTTAATTGCCACCGATTTAATGGAGAAAGGTATTTCTGAATATCTCACTAGAAATCTATCCACCTGGAAGTACATACCACAAGAAGATCATTAAATAAAAATATTTCTCGCTGGTGTAATCCAAGCTTCTGAGGTTTATTTGGATCTGGAACTTCAAACAGCCTACAGTAGCAAACAAGCCTCCGGTGGGGTAGAGAGAGGACCTATGATAATACAAAAGATCATGGTTGATATAGCAATATTTAGCCACAAAAGAGCATCTTTCATATCCAAAGTCTTTTTCTGAATACTTTAAATTTTTTTACCTCTAAGCCCATTAGGCTTTTTCATCAAAGGACCAATAACAGAAAAATAAAGATTTATATGCCACAAACTTGCATGACATTCAAACTTCATCAACATTCTTATATAAAATACTCTCTTAACAGCTTGCATTCCTGTATATGGGAGCCAATGAAAGTTTTACTGGGGATAGTTTTACTTTGTGAAATGATAAAACCTTGAAAGAATTTAAGATTAAGCAAGTGGGAGGTAAAAGCAAAGGATGTTTGCTTTCCTGAGAATTTTTATGTATCTTTATTAGAAGAAAGGACACAAAGCAACTTTAGCTTTTGTGACATGAATACACTGATGTTGCAGATTATGTTTTGTCAGCCACTGAGTTAGTTCAGTTTGTTCATTCCCCAGTACCAAGGAAATGGTACATCAGTACATCAGGAAAAAGTAAATGCATTTTCAGTCTGGCTTATTTTCTCGTGCCAGCAAGAAAACGAAGAATAATTATCCATTTTCTTATTTGAAATGTCTGCTGAAGCTATCTCTGAAGCCGCTGTTTTCAACCTAGCGAGACTTCATTCTTTCAAATGCAAATGATGGTATCTTGTCAACAATATTAAAAGAAATCATTTAAACTTTAAAAGTTTGAAGTAGAGAATATTCTTTGCTAACTAGACATATATTTCATTTATATATTATATTTCTTCATAATTCCTGATTCTGCATGGGAATTATGAGACTTACTAGGCAAAGAAAACATCAAAGGCTGTTAATGCTTCTTCCTCTACATGAGTTGGGAGGGCGGGAGATTTAAAAAAAAAAAAGAAAAAACCAAAAAGGGGGAAAAGCGTTTAGGATTCACTATCTGCCCTTGTTCCTGGTTGGTTATCAAGTCATTTAGTGAGATTCCAGTTTTTTCCCTCAAATCCATCAGTAACTATACTAATAACAGACAAAATGCTAACAGCATTTAACTTATCTATGGCATTACCTTAACTACCCTTCATGAACTTGCAAGAAGGTATTTAAGAAAATAAACTGCTGTGTTCTAAAGGAGCCAGTGTGGTGAGGAATGCTGGAGAAATCAATGGTTTCTATTTTCAGGCTATTCTGGTAACTGAACAGCTTACATTGGTTCTCAGTGAAAAGCGGCAGGAATAGATGTTGCATGTTCTCATTCTCTCCTACCTCCAGACTTAGTTTCCCCAGCACATGGCACTCTGAGATTTGCTACAGTGAGATAACAAACCCAAGGGTAGTCACTGAGCCTGTGAACTTGCAACAACTACAGTGAGCTCTGGTACTGAAATTTAACTATAGACAATGCTTTCGCTTATGGCAATAGATGATCTGGTAAGATTCCCTTCTACCCTATTTTATAAAGATCCCATCTTTCAGTTTGTTTTCACAGTCCAGTGGTACTGCTAGACATGCATGAAACAATGACAGATACTTCACTTAGGAAGATGAAGCTAGCTTTGCATGATTTTAATTGTTTACACAAAAAAAAGCAAGAAATAAAAGACTGAAAAAACAAATGAAAGTTTAAAATTCTGGAGTGTCCTGAGTGAAGATGCTAATGCACACTACAGTTATAATTGAGAAAAAAAAAATCATCAGGGTCAAATTTGTATAAGGTAGTCAGATTTCAGAGTACTACATGCGCTCCTCTGCTATGAGGTGGTTTCTTTCTTTGTTCAAAACTACTAGCAATAATGCTATAATGAAATTAAAGTAAATGGAACACTGTATTAGAAGAATAGTTTTAGGATTGTTATTGAAGATGCCTCTAACTGAAATCTGGAATAAATATTCTCTATGTTCATCTACCTTTCAGAAGAGAACTGTTAAATTAACTGGCAATATCTTCCTAGAGTATCATTCAATGCTGAGATGAACCACAAAGAATAAACACCCCAGGGCCCAGGTGGAAAAGTGAGGTGCAACTGTAATTTTACTTATTCATTATTCTTTACTGGCTGTCTAATTTCTGTAGCATTTGAAATGCATAAAAAGTATACTTAAAAAAAAGGTCTAGAAAACTCTTGACAGTAAATTAAACAGTCTCTGGGAAATGTATTTTTAAGAAAATCTTTATACTTGGAGAGTTATTACTACAATAATAGGAAAATTTTGCTTGAAAGAAGCCAATTTTTTTTAAATGTTAAAATGTAACAGAATGCATCGTTGCCAATGTAAGAAAATGCTGCCAGTTAAAATGACCATAAATTTTGAAGGAGTATGAAAGGAATACCTACACAGCCAAGTCCATGATGCAGAGATCCAATCTACAGTAGAAAGACATATACAAGTTCGTTAAACTTCAGAGAAACACAGTACTGTATCATAGCAAGTAAATACGTCACGGTCTTACTATGACTAAATGCCTATAAAGTAAAAACAAATATTTCTATCAATAAAGACTGTTGGGCTGCTTCCTAAATTTTCTTTCACACAGTTAAAAAGTCTCTTAACAGAAGAATCCTTGAACCTAGGACTCCACTGAGGTAATTGTTTTCTTAATCCCATTTAATTTACGAGGCCAGGATTATTTTTAGGATTTGAATTGCAATATACCTGTATAAAAAAAGAACCATTAAAAAAAGCCATCTCCCACAGAAGCCTATATATAAACCTAAAACCTCAAACCATTACAGAAAATAAGTTTCATATGAAAGCATAAGTGACTGTCAAATCCCGACTTCAGAATATTTATTTCCTTTCTACTGAAAAACATGTAAAAGCTTTAATTAAGGAAATTTTGCTTTCTCTCTCCTGTGCTTTTTCCAAGAAGTCTCCTCAATATTTCCTTACTGGGAAACAGAAGTAAATTAGATTTTTTTTTTTTGGTGGTCCCTCATTCCCTTCCCTGCCTCCCCACATTGAGGCTTGTCTGAGAAGAAAGGTTACAATTCAAAGCTCTTTAAAAGAAACAGGGAAAATCTTGAGATCCGTGCTCTTTTTCCCCCTCTTGTAACATGTTGTAATCCCCCTTAATAAAAAATGTCTCTGCTGCAGTAAAGTTCCACAAAGCTGATAAAAAAAAACTATGTAGGACTTCAAAAACATGCAAGCCTAGTCTGTTTTTTTGGCTTTGTTCTGGGCTGCCTTTGTGCCTACTAACATGAAGATTTTCTGAAGATTACTCTAGGAGTTGAATTTAGGAAGGCTGAGTATCCATTGTCCCGCTCCACATTAGATACTGCTGTTAGCATGTAAAATATTGGTCTTAATATCTCTGTGCTCACTCAGCTCATAAAACAAAGGGGAAAATGCTGTGGCCTTCCTTTTCTCTCTCCTTTTTCCCACAGACGCTTTAAAGATTAATTTATATAGCAAAGTATTTCAGGATTTTTCCCTCAACAAAGCAAGAGGTATCTTTGGATGCTCAAACCCAGCACTAGAATCCCTGGGACCTGATTTCCAGATAAGTTCTGAGGCAAAAATCACACAATCTCCCCTTACAAATGCCAGTTCATAGAGCTAGCTGCAAAGCTGAGAGAGATGCTGACGTGAACAGAAGTTCTCTATTACTCTTATAAATTATGGAGCCATAAATAATAGCATACATGTTGAAATACGATTCTCTACAACATCACTTCAACAAAACAATTCTCTTGAAACAAACACGAGAACTGCCTAAAAGCAGATATTCCAGTGTAATTTCAGAATCATAAAGCTTCACGTAGAGAAAAGAGTTTAAGACTCGTAACATCATCATTCATGAATACCAGACTGCGACAACAAAATTCATCTGCACTGTGAATACTCCAAAATTAAAACCAACCTTAGAGGAAATTTTTGACAGTTTATGCCTTTTGCCATTTATCAGCCAATTTATACCTCTAAGCAACACACTTCTGTACTGCTCTATACTGTACTTTGCCCTGCATCTCCTTAGCAACTGACAGGCAGTGCAAAGCAAACTTACCGGTTTCTTTCCTACTATGAGTTTTTCAACCTTCTGGACTTGGGATACATGATCCTCATTCGTCTTCAGTTCCCGTTTGCGGATTCGCTCATAAATCCCAATCAGCATTTCTCGTGGGATATCCTCGCCATCATCCACACCTGCAGAAGCCAACAATTTCTGTTACTGGTCTGGCTCTGGACAATCTAACAAACACTGTTATTTCTCAGCAACATAGGCTTCTCAGCAAGGAGAGGATAAAAACATGGGCAATCTTTGTGTCCTCTGCTAACAGTAATGCCAGTGTTGCCTAAGACTGCTGCTATACTTGCTTATGCTGTTTGATTTTATAGCTGCCACTACCCCATCAGCTAACATCTCCTATGCTGTCCTTGTGCCTACCTTACCACAGCAGCAAAAGTTATGTTACTCATTACTGAAGCACTGACTTTTGCCCAAAAGCTTGCTGCCCCCAATACGCCAAGACATTGATGGAAATTACACAGGTTGGGTTCTTTTGTTTGTTTTAAAACTAAGCCATAAAAAGGCTAATTTCCTATGCAATTCCTCCCCCCCCCAAGTGTCCTGTGTTTGGTATCAAAGCTCAAATGAATTAAATAACATTTTAGACACTAAAATCTCCATATGACTTCCTCCTAGGAGTATACCGTTGTGAGGAAGCAGAACAACCATTTTGCCCCTGTCCCAGTATTACTCAACACTGTTCATAAAATAATTTCCTATAAGAGAACCTTATGAACATCCAGTAAAATTAATTTAACCAATAGTTCCGGTATGATTTCAAAACCAATTCATTTACTCTGGAAAAACAAATCAACAAAATAGCCTAGTCACAGTATTATTGTTTTGTGTCATTATCATTGGCATGTCAGTATTGCAACAAACGCTGCAGTGTCTTGAATGCTTGATCCTGAATTTTTAATAGCAGTGGAAGGAGTCCAATTTCAATGGGTGACTTAAAGCTGGATTTCCTGGGGACAGGGAGATGCATGTCTATTTTTTAAAAATGTTTTAAAGCAATAAATTCTTATCTCCCATTCAGAAGCCAAACTAGAATATTTTGTCACCCAGTGGAACAACTGCTCACATAAAAAATACTGTGATAAATACAGTTTCTTTGCAACTAGAAGCAAGCAGAAGTCTTCTCGCAAGTCTTCCATAGACCACCCTTTGTAATCCAGTCATTTAAAGTTACAGGCAAAGTAGCCTAATACAAAAATGCCTACAATAATAAGAAATTGCTGGTGTTTGGGCTGGAGCTCAGAGAGAATGTACTCTATTTAATACAAGTGTAACTGTAGTATTATGCTAAGAATGAATAGCAGGCCTTTTTTAATCTTTGTGGATTTTATGATAAAATCCCAACACTAATTTAAATTTTGCTAAGCTAAAACATCATTCATTGCTGTCTTACACAAATCTAAGGGAATAAAATCACCAAACAGGCCTTTCATTTTCAAGGTTTGAAATTCCAGAACACCACAAGTATTTTGTTTTTACTAGTACCAAAATGAAAGTACCACATGTTTACATGAATGAAAACTGCCATGCATCTGAGATGCGCCAGTATATTCTTATATATTAAGCAGCTCAATTCCACCTTTCGGCCATTCAGCCCACTTTTAGGTATCATGGAGAAAATGGCTGTTAAACAATACATCATCAGTACTTGCAGGTGCCTGCAGTAGTGGCCCTGCTGCACCCATTGCTGCCGTAAGAACAGACTGTGCACTAAGCTGTGTTTATTCTGTGCTTAAAAGCAGGGGGAGGAGGAGGAGAGGGTTGCAAAGACTGAGCAGGCAATTTTCCTGGCCTTTGCACAAACACATAGTAATGGAACTACAGTAAAAGTTGCTTTTTCCCTTTGGGCCCAAACTATCGTAAAGGAAAAAAAGGGATGGGGACTTCAGCCTAATTTGATTTCTCTAACATCTGAGTGCTCTTCTGTGATGAAAGGTAAATGCTGTCTGACCCATTCTCCCTTGAATGCCCAGGAACCAAAGGAGATATCACCTCCTCACGCACGACCTTCTTCCTCAGCTCTACAGTGACTGCTTCCTGTCAGGCAGAGCTGAGTGCTGGCTGAACTGATACTGCATAAAAATCTGTTCTTTTTCACCAGAAAGAACCAGGATAGAAAGATCGGAGATACAAATTTGAAAAAATATCCATATTTTTTTGGCAATCTAATTGCAAGTTTAGGTGTGCCATAGTCTGGCAAATAGATCAGAAAATATACCAATGAAGAAATCAAAATGAAATTTCTGTGCTATTTACCATGTATCTTTTAGGAAGGTTTTGGAGTTGGAATTTTTTTCCCCCCCCCACTGAGAATTTAAATCTTTAGTTTATTTCCAAAAGTTCTCATCACAGTATAGTGATTTCTGTTCTTTAATATATATACATATATGCAAATAGAAGGACCTGACAATACATCCACTCAAGAAACACAAGATAAAAAGGACAAAATCCTATCTTTAATTCTGTTTTCACTATTCCAAAAATAACTAAAGCCTGTAAAAATGACAGTAGTTTTAAGTCAGGTGAAATCAGAATCAAGTGCCCTGTATTTTGCCTTTTTCCCAGAAGACAGACGGTGCCCCTCCAACAACAGTTACAGGGAAAAGCTTTCATCACCTTCATTGTTAAGAGTTTGCTTACCCCTTAGATTCTTGACAAAGTCTTCTAGCTTCATCTTGCGTTCTGGTTTCACATTTGGGCTGTACATATCTGTGTTTAACAGTATGATGGCGAAAGCTAGAATGAAGATGGTATCGGGATTTCTAAATTGTCTCACAACACCTGGATTGCAGATACAGTATCGCTGGCTGTAAAAAAGCAAAGAGGAGAACCTGTCAGAGCTATGAATTACTATTCTAATTCTACCAAATAAATCAGCTGCTACATTCCAGAGGCTGAGCAAGCTATTATTTGTGTTTCATACATATATTTAGCTTTTCATCCACATATTTTCAGAAGCCAGTCCTAGGATATGGAAGTCTTTTGTTTTCTACTACCACTGTAACTTCACTTCTTAGTACAGATTCTGAACTACAATAAGTTCAGTATTTCATTTTTTTCGGCAAGTAATACCCATTGACACCAGGTAAGAACACAGCATTGGTTTTAGCTTACTACCACATGACAATTTACATCTCACCCTGCCCTGGATAAAGTACACTTGTGTTAGTATTTATAAGTTAATGCTCTTTATTCCACTATTGTTGAAATGCTTAATGAAAGGTTGAGAGCATATATACTCTAAAATGTAAATGGTCTTATAATTCCACTCATATAAGCAATTATATCCAAACACATTGTTAGAGACATTCAAAAATCCTTGAATATCTTTTCAACTGATGCCAGAAAGAACCGTTAATTGAGAAACCTCGCTACGTTAAGATAAAGACACACATGAACTGCAACGGCAAATAAAACTTCCTATTTCATACTTAGCAAAACCACCACAAATGACATGCTGTATTTGGAACTGTATGTCACTCACAAGGACACTGCAAATAAGCAGGGAAAGTAACTCAGATACACTCAACGTCCCCAGTTCTCCAGTTTGACCCTTAGACAACAGCCGGTTTCTGGTGACTGAGGAATTAACTCCAGCATCATACCTAAAAGCTTCAATGAGCCGTTCTACTTTCTGGGCTTCTCCTTGAACACGGATATGAGCCTGAAATTTCCTGAGTGCTTCATCCAGTTCCATTGTTGAGAAGTCCATCTCATCCACAACACAGCTAGGATAAAAACATATTGCCATCGTGTCTTTTAATGTCTAACACCACAGTACCAACGGTAAGATTTCAAGACCAAAAACCCTTTCAATTTTCCACCTCTTGTACAGATTCATGGAGTTTTTTTAAACATTCAACAGCAATTGCAACAACTGTAGGTAAGCTGTGAAGGAAGGATTGCAATTAATGGATCAATGAGAACGTGTGCATGTAAGTAGGCCTTTTTTTTTTTTTTTTTAACAGAAGAGCTGCTGGAATGACAAATGTCTGACCAATGTAAGTGACATACCATTGCCAAGAATAATTACTGGTTTTGTGCTTCCAGGCCAATCAATTATTACAATGCCTATAAAAATAATAAATAGTTTATACTGCTCAAAATATTGTATCTCAAATAGCCTGCAGCAAGCACAATAATCTGTACCAAATGGCTCTGTGTCTGGGAATGTTCTTGCATACAGATTAAAAAAAAAATCTTGTTTGGATACTCTCTTACTATTAATGTAATTTTCATCTCCCCATCATTTGCCATGTCTTTCAGTTAACACTTATGCAGAAATAATTACTTTCTTGCTCTGAAAATACAGTGCTGACAAAAAATTAGAAAAGGAACCAGTTGAATATAATCAACAATGTGAACTTTGTCATTCTAATACTTTGTTTAAAGACTACTTTAAAATCAGAAGCTTATCAACTTCCTTTCTTTAAAAACTTTGCTCTTAGTTTTTAAATAACCAGGCGTGAATCACTGCAAGTGACAGCACTGTAATGCAGAAACCACAGAAAGAAAGCAAATTGGAGTAGCTCACATTTTTCTTCCAGTAACATTGTAGCTAAAAGATTAATACCAAAGCAATTTATTCACTTTGCCTTGAGTATTTTTCCCTTTATGGAGAAGTGCAAGGAAGCAAACAAACAGGCTCGGCATTTCTCAAGCCTTTTCCAATCCACACCTCGAAACCTACTATCAGTTCCGCAATAATGTTCACAGTTTTCTCACCTATTGTAAGGTCTGTAACACTTTCAAAAGCTCTTTTCTCCTTCAAAGGTGTAAAGCACATGTGCAGACAAGCTGGAGCCAAAATTAAGTAATCAGAGCAATTAAGGACCTCCAGAAACATGCTAGCCAACATCATAATGGGGAGGGGTCTTAAACAATCTTTTATATGAACAGTGGAGACAGCAGATATACCACCATGGTCAATGTTCTTAACTGGAACCAGTTCTTTTCTGGAAATATTTCAAAACAGTAAACAAAACTTTTCTAGTGGCTATGTAATGACAAAAAAGGGAACAGGTTATTTTAGCTAGGTCATTACAGCAAATGAAAACATGAAAGGAAGAAAGATCAGCCACACTTCTTTAGTTTTTGTTAACAACCGTTAACAATATTAACAATAGTTAACAAAATGATAATCCTTGCTAATATCATCATGATCATAATGATGAAGAGAACATGATTAAATGGACTTTAGTCACTGCAGGAGAACTCGAGTACATACATATTCTGGTGCTGAGCAACCACATCTTCACTATTACAGTTACTCGTCCCAGGCACGTAAACGCCAAGCAGCAGCTAGGCTTCACCACTAGGTGATAGGTAGGCAGATAATTGACACCTCTTCCTGGGAACTGTCCCTGGCTTACCACCGCTCCACGAAATTCAGGCAAAAAGAGTGGAACATACCACTTCTTCTGGGTCAGCACAGCTACAAGTGCCTTGATGCTCTACTCTTGCCTGTACTCTTGCAGATAACTGCGTAGTGTAACGGACTGAAATGATGGAGTCCCGTATAGAGCAACAGAATGTTGTGCTTTCCTTCTCACTTTTAACAGTGTTCTTTATGATGGTTTTATTTCATTCTTTCTTTGAGTGACTGCACTTTCGTTTTCTAATGCAAAGTCAAGACACAGCAGCAGGTCAGATCCTCGGCTACATCTCTGTTACATCAAGCACTCCTTGGTCAGGCAGAGAGAGAAAGCCGAAGCTTGCTGCAGAACAGCAATGCTTTGGGAAGCGCATCTGATGTGCCCCAAATGTTGGCCAGGGCAACAGCATCGATGCCAGCCCTGCACCACCCAAGCCTTTACATTTGAGCTACCACCAGGTAGCCCAGTACAGTAAGCCCAGAATGCAGCTCTTGGTCAAAAATGTAGGCTACTCTCTTGAATATTTTCTAAGTTGCAGTGAAAAGAAGATTTCAGAGAGTTAAAATACCCTAATTTACAGGATCTGGGAATCTTGAACACAAATCAAAGCAAGTCACTTGAAATTAAATTGTGTAACAGAAAAAGGATCATCTGTGAAAATATCTTGTCTGTGTAACAACCTGGAGTTATTATCAGTTCGACAGAAGTCTACCTCCAATCTGTAAATATGATATCTAAGATGAAATGCTATTCTGCTGTCTCTTTTTAAGAAAAAACACCTGTTCCTATTTGTAGGTAAGGTTCAGAACACTATCAGAAGTGCACTGCTTACAGGATGTTCCTCGCCCCCAAGCATACCTGAAACAGCTTCTTTAAGAATAGATTAATTTCAATAAAAGGATTGTTGTGGGATTGTAGGTGGGTGATTATGACCTTACTCTTAAGAATTCACCTCATCACAGATGCATCAGCTGGCTTAGCAGATACACACTTCTACTTACCCATATTCTGCTAGTCTGTTTGAGGTTGTGAGGGCAAACGATTTGTTCAAGATCACAAAATGCATCATCTAAAATTATAAATCATCTTGTCCTGGACCTATACTGTTTTCTTTTAAAAAATTAGAAAACACACACTCTTTGGAAAGTCTTTCCCCTGGTTTGACTCATAAGTGCAAAATCCAGACGATCATTACAACTAGCTAATAATGACTCATGTTGAAGAGGGACTGCACCAAGATCAAGTCATATTCTGTTACTCTGTATTGTAAGGCTGGCTGCATGCTTTGCTACAGAGGCTCTTCTGATGCTTACTGCTGGGTAAAAGGCAGCATCCTTTAACAAGGCACACGAAAAAAGAGAAAACCTCTATAAAAAGGTCTATGGCATATGTACCCATGCCATTAGCTGTATTATACAGTGTTCAAGTTTGCGATTTGAGATACGTAAGTTCTGACAGCATACCAGTAAGATCAGGCTGACTGTATCGAACGTGACCAACATCTTTGCAGTATGAAGCAGTAAGAAATATGCAAAGAAAATATAAGGTGTTGGCAGATACTTTGTATCATAATACCACAGCCTTAAAATTTTTGCAATGTATTGATATTATGGTATCGATATTATGTATCAAAATTCAGTCCTCAGGAGAAAGACCGCATCTACAGACCAATGCAAATTTCAGTACAGCTTTTGTTACACTCTGCTTAAAACCTGTGGTCAGAATTTTTCCCAGTCTTCCCTAACGTGCAAGATGCGGGGTTCTTTGCTTTCATTCTCAACAGTTTTGTTAAACATCTAACTCATTTTTTTATACAATTCCTTGAATAAAACCGGACTAAGATGTATTAATGTTTACAGGTCAGTGTATCAGATACAAAAAAAAAAAACCACCCCCAAAGAATATGTGTTTTCAATGAACACTCTCTTAAAATAAGCAACTTCAGTTTTGGTCTACTCTCTATATAAGGTCTAGAAATTTATGACCAATCTGCTGAAAGTCTGATATTCTGCTTTGAATTTCTTTGTGTTTTAAAACAGTTTTTGTTTATCTAATCTTTTGGAAAGGAACAGTTTGTATAGATCTTGTCAGCATATGCCTGTACATGCCGAAATCCCTGTTTATCTAAATTCTGAGCCATTTGGCTGTAATAATTATTTTCATGTTCTGTTACTGATGAAGCCTTATGTTGCATATAATATTATTCTGTTTCATTCAGTAAATTATTAGAGAGCCTGAGGAAGGAAAAACACGTCCAAGTAACATACTCTAACGCCAATGAAATTAAAACATAAATATAGAGTAAATATACATGACTACAGGGAATATAAATCCTTGTAAGTATCTTGCTGGATCAACAACAGAAACAGTAACTTAGCTGGAAAGCAGAGAAATAAATATTTGCTCATGTGCATATTTCCTTTCTTAACCCGTAGAGTCTGGTTTCCCCCTCCTTCAGAACAAGATCCAGAGATAAGTGCAAAACATTCAGAGACCTCTAGCTTGATGAAATATCTTACTTGAACATTAAAGTGTGCTTACCTCCTCCCCACACACAATACTCACTCTAAGACATCCCGGTTGAACTGTTTTTGTCGATTTCCTAGAAATTCTCCAATCATCTGTCTGCTGAGACCTTTCCTTTGCAGGAGAAAGTGGGCAACACCGACTGGAGTGTCTGGCACAAAACCTCGCTCAATTAGGTACTGGACTCCTTTTTCAGGTTTTCTGAGGAGAAAGGAGAATGCAAAACTATTAATTTTCTTCCATTGGATCTGAAGGCATCTGATTAAAATTTTACAATTTTGCCAATCGCTTTTGACTAACATACTACTAGTATGGGGTAGTATAGTTTCACGATAAATGTAACCATCCCATAGAACATACCATTTACTGTTAATAGCTTATTAGCTTTGAAATGCAGCTTTGCATGTTATTACACATTTTCCTGCTCCATAACACTTCCAAAGTGAAGCTTTATATGCAAGCAGCTTCAGCCATGAAAGTCAAAACACTTGTCAATGCAAAAGACAAGCCCAACATCAGCTGCTAAATGCTCCTGTTGCTGGGAGAGCTGTATCTTCCAGAAATGGAACTAAAAAGCTGCCGATGAAAAACAAGAAACAAAGAACACCCCTGACCTCCCACCCCTCTGCTGGCAAAAGTTAAACTTATCAAACAAAAACATCTGAAGAGGTATAACTTGCAAGCTGAGAATATAAAAAATAAGGGAAAAAAATAAAGTTAGTCATACAAAAGGAAGCAATTAAAAACAGTGGAACGCCCATCTAAGTTAGAATTTTTTTTCTTGCCCTTTAACACACCCATTGCCCCAGATTTCCCTTCCTCAGACAAGCACCTTGATAGTTTCTGCAGTATTTTACATCTCTTTATACCTCACCTCCAGATTTAGCTGTAACCGTTTTTAGATCTCTAAACAAAGCAAGCTGAAGCTACTAATTTTAACATTAAGAAGTGTGTGCTGGGGAGGAGGTTTGGGGATGGAATTGGTTTCTGGCAATAAAATCTACTGTTTATAAAGGTAAATGCTGCTTATATTTTAAAGTGATGTAAAATTCTCCTGACAGCACATATTGTGCACTGCATCTTCCAGCAGTGTGACACAACAGACAATCATAATTCCTTTTAAAGATATTAAAGGGATATCTTTACAGAACCAGTAATTCCATCATCATCTTTATTTTGCAAGAAATTATGATATAATGTCCACCTGTAAGAGTGAGTGATTTGCAGCATGCTGGATGACCTGAAAGATATTTCCTTTAAGGCAAGCAAAATCAATCTCAAAAGGACAAAGTGACCTTACTATTTTTATACAAGGTTGATCATACAACCACAACCGTTCCTCAGGGTTTTTAATTGCAAATAACATTACTAAATACATCACAATTCAGTTCTCCTACTCTTTTACATTACACTACTATACACAATACCCTATGAAGAGTTAGATAGATCAGAGGAATATATATAATTTAATCAAAAGGGAGTTCTCAAATATAAATGTCTTGCATCAGGCTTTGTGAGTCTTCATCTGAAATAAGATTACACATATGGTCATCTTCTAAATACAATCTTGTAAAATGAATCTCCTTCATACTCAAAAAGCACTCTTTTTCTTGAAAGTAATGTAACTGCTACGTTCACATGCTTTTGAGTTGTATTTCAGAATTCTTAATATTTTTGAATTTAAATTCACAGCATCCAAGAAAAACAGGAATAGTTTTCGCCATCCTCCTTGTTAGTGAGCTACATTTGTCCATAAAGTTCAGTGTGATACAAACCTAGCAGAGTTCCTCTCCAGCAATTATCAAAACAGTAAATGAAGAACACCATCAAAAAGCACAACTTGATCCAAAGATCAACTTTATTAAAGATATAGAAAATGCCAGATCATTACTTACTGTATGAAACCACACCTTGAATTCTTACCATGCTCATAAGCCTGAACATTTAAAATCATCACAAAGGTGACATGTGATTTATTCTGCATCAGTTTCTATGTAGTTGTATAATTTCACATAACCCAGGGTCTGCTTTTTCACATAAGAAACTCCGCTTCTGGTTCAGCAATATGATATCACTTTATTCAAATACACTTCAAACCAGGCTAGGTCAGCCTCCAAAACAGACTTAAAAATCCATTTAGCAACACATTGGAAGCCAAAACCTCTTTTCCCATCGCTACTTTCTTCATGCTGAAGTGAAGGGTCTGGAAGTTTTGCAGCCTAGGATTATTTGAAAGCAGTCCAATGTGTTACAAAAGCTGTAACATGGAAGCAATGTAAACTCTGAACTATAGTAACATGGAAATTCTGAAGTAGCAGTGACATAAACTTCAGAGTAACAAACCTGTAAGAGTCATTTCCACAGTGAAGAAACTGATTTTCTTCTAATTCATGGCCCTACCCACTGAAATTTGCCAACTAGAACCAATAAAATTGTGTCATATTATTTTGAAATCTTCCTGTAAAAACTTTTAACTTTGGTGTTCTGTTCTAGGAAAACAACTATAAACCTGGAGAGCATGACTGACCTCAATTGAAGAGCTGCTTGTGGGTTGACCCCAGCCAACAGCAAAGCACCCAGATCAAGCCGGTACAGAGCAAAGGCTAAAAATAAAGAACTGAAAAATGAAAGAGCTTCTCTAGAGAATTCCTACTACCTGCTGAGATGAGAACTGTGACTTTCCGTAATGGTACTTCGATCTTTCTTTGAAGGTTCCGACAGTCATCACTACAACAGGATAAAGGATTTCCTAGAGCAAGTATTAGCAGGATAATTGTTCTTAATGACAGAACCTACAGCTTCAGGTGCTCTTTAGGTACCTCACCCCAATTAAAAACAGCCTACAATGGAGTATGTTCTAAAGGATAAAGCATAAAGGACAAGTAGCCAGAGGCAGCTGGTACCACTCTGTAGTTGTTAGGGTATCACTCACTGAGCAAGGCAGCCTACAATGCTTTCCCTTGTCCTTCTACCAAACGGAATATTATTTGGCTCACGGGAAAACTCTGGAGGTTGAGGATTATATGGGAATGTGCACAAATAAAGTTCTAAATAAAATAAGTTTCTGTGGCTAAATGTGGGTATTAAATATCAGAGGAAGAAAATTTTTTATCCAATGGGCATCTCCCTAGCTTCCATCTTTCCAGCTCATAAATGCTATTTTGGTTTCTGTTCTAGAATTCCAGTTTGCTAACAAAATTTTCTTTGTGTTTGTATTTTTGATGATCTGAAACCTTGAGTTCATTCAACACTCTTGACAAAGAAACTGAATTTAATATGAACTAAATTTTATCAAACAGCCTCAAATGCACCAAGAGGACACGTAGGTCATGGTGTTGACTACCAGCAAACTACTGGAAACTCATTTGCTCCTTCCCAATGAAAGACAAAAAAACCCCAGGTAGCTGACAGGGTTTCTGGGAGAGCAGGTTTTAAAAGACAAACACAAGCAAACAGGGACTCTACTGCCAGCAAAGCCAGCTGTTTTAAATTGGACAAACTTCCTTTTTCACCAAACCCTAATTTTCCTAAAGTGTATGACTGGATGCAGAAGGGAGTGGGACATGAAAGGGTCATGGATTTAACACGAGATAGGACATCTGACATATGTTTTCCTCATTTCCACCTACTCAGAATTGAGCGTAGACCATTTTATACTTACAACTAAGAGTCTTTTGTGATTAGGAAAATTCCCAGTGATGGCTTGTTAATTACACCTAGCAATAACAGGGAAGATGAGAAGTCTATAAATAGCAATCGTGGAAACTGCATAAGCAGAACATTTATTTTCAGATTCGAATACATTAACTAATAGCAAAATACACCCTCTAAAGCTAGCACCTTACATAGCTGATGATATACATAATAAAGGTTAAAAATGTCTTCTATCTCAAGATAAAAAACCCAACGAAAACAAATCAAAAGCAATCTGCTGAAAGGAAAAAAAAAAATCAACTAACATGAAAAGATGTGCAAAACCATATTTACATAAGATTCTCAGATGTTGCATAAAGGGCTAAGGAATTTGCCAGAAACTGATTAATAACCTTTAGGATGGTTTAAAGTGACTTTTAAGAGAAAAACACCAATGGAGAAAGTAATGCAAACTTCAAAATAACAGATCAAACCAGTATATTTTAATAAGCATGCTTCTTAGAGAGTACTGTTCATATCCAGTAAAAAAGTTTTCTTTTTGTGGTTCTGAAGACAGGTTGGATCCTGGACCAATTTTTGGAAACTGACATCTTTAAGAGGAAGCAAATTCTAGGAATGAAGAGTGCAAAATCACACACAGACAACAGTTTAAAAAAAAAAAAAAGCAAAAAAAACCCCAAACCCCACCCCCCCAAGCACCCATTCCCTCAAAAACCAAGACACTAGTAAACCCCTGCACATCACTGCTGCTTCCTCTAGTCATTATTATGCCTTTCCTTCCTAGGTGGAATACTAACTAGAAGGACATGGCTTATTTACTCAGCAAGTTCTACAAGCAGTACTGAAAGCGTAAATTCAGAGGAAGTTCACTGAACTTGCTGATGTTTGTGCAGATCTCATCAGAGTGGTGGTTTGTTGGGGGTTTATGGCTTGTGAAGCTGAGGAGTTGTTGGCTTTTTATCCTTTAGCAGCTATACAGGTTGAATCGGGAAAAGTCACAAAAAGGTCTGTATGTTTAGGAGTTTTGCTAATGTAAGTGATGTACAAGGCTCTCCTAAGAATGAGCTTTCCTTTGGAGTATGGGGTAGAAAAGAAGAACAATAAATAGGGTAATAATATCAAAGTTGGTACATTCCTGAGAGAAGTGTCCTTTCTCCAAGTTAGCAGTATATGGAAAGGAAAAAAGAGGGGAAAAGGAAAAAAGAGGGGAAAAGGAAAAAAGAGAAAAGAAGAAAAAAAGGAAAAAGAAAAGAAAAAAGGTGAAAGAAAGAAAAAAGGGGAAAGAAAGAAAAAAGGGGAAAGAAAGAAAGAAAAAAGGGGAAAGAAAGAAAGAAAAAAGGGGAAAGGGAAAAGGATACTTTTTTTTTTTACTAAAACCTACATGTATATAAGCAGCACAGTATCTTTGGAAAAAACACTGCATTCCTAGTATTTCTAATGAGCAAATTAGTAAGGAGAGCGGTGATACAGACATCTATAATTCTGCATGTGTCATTATTTGTCTCAATTAACTTTCACCTGGTTGGAGAAACCACTGACAAACAACT